CGAGTTTTTGAACTTGCGGGTTTTGTGCTTTTTGAGCTTTTTGAGCTTGCGAGTTTTGTGTTTTGAGCTTTCGAGTTTTGTGCTTTTTTGGGCTTGGGAGCTTTCGAGCTCGCGAGTTTTGTGCTTTTTAAGCTTTTGAGCTTACGAGCTTTCGAGTTTTTGAACTCGCGAGTTTTGTGCTTTTGAGCCTGTCAGTTTTGTGTTTTGAGCTTTCGAGTTTTTGAGCTCGCGAGTTTTTGTACTTTTTAGGCTTTTGAGCTTCCGAGTTTTGTGCTTTTTGAGCTTTGTGCTTTTTGAGCTTTTGAGTTTTTGAGCTTGCGAGTTCTGTGTTTTGAGCTTTTGAGCTTCCGAGCTTTCAATCGTAAACATGTAGAATATTTATAATCGTGGTTTTATAAATACACGGATGTGAACACCATTTAAAACGGAATAACTGCTAAAATTGGTTGAGATGGTAAAATGGCTAATTTGCTTGACAAATATTCTTCTAATCGTCCAATGAATTTTCCATCGTCCCAGAAAAATTAAAATCGCGTCTGATGCAATATATATATATATATATTCCATTTTAAATCTCGACCGAGATCGACGGATTGAACTGATTTTTGATACCGTGCCGGTATCGGTTACCGATGCCTGGCCGTCAAGAAACATCGCCAACAACGTCTACATCCGCAAACAGTAATCGCTGGCCCGCAGGAATTAACTCCGCGAACCTGTTTCCGGGATTGATATCCGCGGACCGATCTGATAAGATTAGGTTTTCCGGTTCAGCGAAAATTAGTTTACGATTTTCAGTCGAGCAATTAGCGACTGAGCTACGGTATGCGATCGATAGAATTCGTTTCTCTAATTATACGAGCTTTTATATATATATATATATATATTATAGTTAGTTTCCATGTTAAATATTCAATATCTATTGCATATTTGCTGATACATATATTACATTTTCTAAGTCGCATTTTTTTAAGATAACAAGGATCGAGGATCGATGGTTCATGCGGCTTTAATTATTTCGGCTCGAAAAAAATACACGATGTGCTCCAAATGGCGGCAAATACGTGTGCAAAAAGTTAATGCAAAAGAGTCTGTCGAGATCCCTATAAAAAAATCTGAATGGAGGACCGACTTCGGGTCCGAAATCGCCGCTTCGTAACAAACCACCCGCTTTAAGTTTCGTTGTTCTGTCTGTTGAACGCGCCGAATTGGTGGATCGGCCAATGGCACGGGTCAGCGGTATTTCCATGGAGGTTTCCGAGGCGTTTAGCTAATTTTTCCGCGCACCGAAATCCCCGGTAATTATTGTAAATTGCGCTAAAATTACAACCCTCCGACCAGAATATTGCAACGTTTACATTAGCCCGGCGTGGTCGTTGACTCGTTCGCCAGTTCGTTGGTACGTTTCGTTCGTTCGTCGGATTCGCCGATGGACATTCAACGAGCTCATAATCATCCGTCCATAAACAGTCCGGCTGCCGGAACACGAATCGAGATATCGATCCGCGAGGCATCCGACTTTCTCTCTCTCTCTCTCTCTCTCTCTCTCCATCTGCTGCTCCCACTTTGTCGCAGACCGTGTGCTCGCTAGAAATTTCGGCTGTTCGAGCGCGCACAGCTCGGCCGGAAGTTGCCGATACACACTACGCGCTTCCGGTCATGCCCCCGAGAAACTTTGACCCCCGAATTACGCCCCTGAACGAGCATTTTTGGTCCTGTAACGCGCACCTGCGCCATCCGCTGTTTTCGCGAGCCACGGAACACCGAGACGAGCACGCGAAAATATTTTGTAATAATTAGAAGATCCTGGAAGTTGGGACTTCATCTGTGATTTCTTCGAGGTCTCAACTTTGAAAGGTAGTATCAATTTATTAGTAGTATTATATTTAGTATTATTATTAGTATTTATATTACTATTATTATAGTGTATTTATTAGTACTATATTACTATTATTATAGTATTTATAAGTACTAAATTACTATTATTATAGTATTTATTAGTACTATATTACTATTATTATAGTATTTATTAGTACTATATTACTATTATTATAGTATTTATTAGTACTATATTACTATTATTATAGTACTTATTAGTAGTATTAATTTTTCAATTGTTTTCGATTGTTGATTAAATTACTGCGATTTTATAAATGTTTCTAGTTTCTTGTGATTGTCGCATCTACAGTGTAGATCACTAAATCAAAACAATTTATTTATGAATGAGACGTAGCACGACCGCGGATAATTATGGCACTTCATGGCGAAAAGTTTTCGAAGGAGTTCAATTACAAATGTCTTAAACATGGTACACGAATAATGACTTTCATAAACAATGTTCGATAGCGTATTCAACGATGTTTAAAATTAAAATACTATTTCATAGGCCCAAGGTGTGGAAAAGTTAAAGAAATAAATTTCCTGGGGAAGCCAAAACGGCTCTCGCATTAAGAACCCATTTTCCAAATCTGTGGATTTGCCTGTATTCATTCTTTTTGTTATTACGAAGAAGCAAAATTGTTGTATTTTCCAGTCGACAGCAAAAGAATACATATTTCAGTTTATAAACGTGTATCCACTTCCAATAAAAGTGTCGTTAATCGAAAATTAAGATTTTTAAACAAATGAGTCCCATATTAGGCATCTTCGCTACTTCATTTCATAAGTACGTAATATTGTTGGCAGCTGAATAAAAATTCCTCGAGTGCGAGACCCGACCATCCAACGACATTCAAGTTCGACATTAACCCTTTCGCTGCGGAACGCCTAAAAATGAATTACTCTCTCAGCAGCCGGCGCGATAGTAGATTGTCTGTACGAACGACACGATACGCGCGACGCTCGTAAGACGGTGTGTGAAACCGATTTTGCTGGTCTTTTCTTTGAGGCGACTGACCGACACGGCAGCCAAACAATAATAGTAATAATGATGATAATAACAATTTTAGAAATTTTTAATAATCTTAAATAATATAGACAATTAACTCTTTCGCTACGGGCGGGTTCTCCACCGCGGTACTTCCGCTGAACGGAGCGCCGCGACATCACTGCACGCTACGCGACGCCGATCGTCAGCGGGAGTACCGCGGCGGAGAACCCAAGCTGCTTGAATGTTTTCGTACGAAAAAATTTCTCTCCAAAGGGTATTTATAAATAAAGGGTATTCCAGGGTATTTATAACGTCTTAGCATGCGCTCTTTAATTTACAGTATGAGAGGAAATAACATTATGCAATATAATGCATCTTATGGAAGGCCATTATAGTGGCCCATAGTACCTCAGTGGCATCATACGAAAGGCCACTATAGTGGCCCGTAGTACCTCAGTGACATCTTATGGAGGGCAACTATAGTGGCCCGTAGTAGCGAAAGGGTTAATATAATATATTATAACAAAATTTAATAATCGAGCGCCAAAAGGCGCTGTTCGCTGAGAGAAAGTGTCTATAGCCGAGCGCCAAAAGGCGCTGTTCGCAGCGAAAGGGTTAAAATTGTATCGCCCAGGTACGTCTGACGTGACAAACTTTCAATTATTTTGATCTCGTGGGACATATCGGTGTTGCGAGTCTCCTATCGGCCAACCACGACGATTCACAGTAAAAAGAATCGAGAGGAAGCCCGCCAATTAGCGATCGAACGTCGAAAGGCCACAAGGAGTTAAACAATCGGTTCTCCAATTAGCAAGCCGGTATTTAACAGCAGTCGATCAATGTAGCGATTGCGGGTAGAGCAGGAAGTATTTGCAAACGGTTGACAGCGAGCTAACGAGAGAGGAAGAGAAACAGAGAGAAAGCAAGAGAGAGAGAGGGAGAAGCGGAGGAAGTGAAAGAGAGGCAAAGACGTAGAGAGTGACGGGTTTATCGTCGACGAGACACCGAATTATTCACAATCTGCGTCACGGCCGTCGGTGACGGCGAATAACGCGATTTCCATCGCCACGCGGTTGCTACAGAAGTAGTTGGAAAAAGGAAAGAGTGAGAGAGTGAGAGAGAGAGAGGAAGAGTGAAAGATAGAGAGGGGGAGAGAGAAGGGAGAAGAGTAAAAAGAAGCAAAAGAGAGTCGAAAGAGGGGCGAGAAACGTGTCTGGCCGAGAAGGAGGCGAGGAAGAAGTGCGAAAAGAACGAGGTCGTCGACCGTGTCTCTGGTCGGCCCCGTTTCTCCGCTTCTAGTTACGTCTAGGGTAAGGGAACGCGGACGCTCTTCGGCTCCACGAGCCGTTGCCCCGAACCAATCGCGCCCTCGAGAGCAATTATTTAAAACAAGAAAAAGAGCGAACCGGCGGGCGAATTTTTTCCCTGAAACCGAGCCCGATGAAACTCGCCCCCGCACTCGGGCCGAGCGCGGAACTCGATCCCCCACGCGATTTTAAAGTACCCACTGGCTAGCCAACCGATTCGATGGTTCCGTCGTTAACAGGATCGTCACCGTCACGTATCCGCAACGACCGCGATTTCCTGCGTTCGCGTTGCTGGAACTACCAAGGGGAGCCAAAATTACTTGTTTTCGGCGTTTCTTACAATCGTTACTCGTTCTCGGTACATTTTGTTTGTTCGGTTGTTTTTTTCTTAAATTTTGCACGACTTTTTCTAAGATATGTAAACAATTAATTACGTAAAGCAGTTTCCGCTTTTCGTGCACTATTTCCAACTCGTTAAAATGATTATGCGACGAGATAAAAGTCTACGCAGCTCCTGTATATTGTAATTAGTGCGGACGAATTTAATCTTGCAGGAAAATCCGCGGTTTCGGTAATAACGGCAACAGTAAATAATTAAAAACGCTATCATTGTAATAGACAGATCAAAGAAGCGTGTCCGATGTTTCGCTCAATTCCGTGATTAAATACAAAGTTCACCGATCGAAGACGACGGTATCAGTTTGTCGAACAAAATGTTTCAGAACGGTGTCCGAAGGTCGCTTGGCTAAGAGATCAGATTTTCCCAGTTCCGAGCTATCCGCTTTAGATAAAAACGATCGCATATCGAGGTTTCCATTGCTCACCTATTTCAGGACCGCAGACCCTCGGTATAATTTCTAGAATTGCGCTGCAGCTCGGATCGTCGAAGCACAATTGGCGAGCGTAAAGGCAGTTCAGTATGGCGGCCGGCTCTTTGATGTCGGATCCTGAAACCAGACACATTCAACGTCAGACGTAAATCCTGTGCGCAACAGTTTCGTCGAAGACGATTCCGGCGACATCGATAACGCGTTTATATCGCATAAAGCATTTAACCGCGATACAATAGAGGTCAAGAAACTCGATGCACACTCGATGCGTATTTAAATCAGTTTCAACCAGTTATTGGGTTGGCAACTAAGTAATTGCCGATTTCAGTTATAGATGTCTCTCACTCCCATTTTTATGATATCCGTAAATGTTATATTATAAAATTATTATTATTATTATGTTATTTTATTTTTATTACCCGTAAATGTTAGCAACTGGACAAATTGAATGCAGCGGTCAAGGAAACGCGACCAGAATTGGTCAATCGTAAAGGTGTTGTGGCGGACCAGACATAAAAAGACACGTCCTTCAAAAGCGGGGTGTGCATATGCCTTTTTCGGGTTTTCCCGACGCAAGGCGTACACACCGCAATAAAACAATAAAAACGTTGGGACACAGCTTCGGACCATAGGTCCCGGATCACCCCGGTCGGAAAATCTTCGGGAAAGGCCTTCGCCCTTCCCAAGGACTTTCCCTTACCAATTTCAATACGTTCTCCCCAATAAATACGAGGACCTCTCGACCGGGAGAAGTCAGTTAGCAAGTTTTCCTCCGACTCTCAACGTGTTCATATTTCTGTCTCATCCGTCACTCGTTTACCTTTACCTTCTACACACTGTACCTCATCGCCTTTTGTTACAAGTTATATTAAAGTTCTCGTTATATAAAAACCAAAAAAACTCTCTCGGATTATTTTATATAAACCGTCGCAGTAACCCCTGCGACAAAGTGTCATTTCCAGCAGGACAATGCTAGGCCGCACACGTCTTTGTCCACTCGGCAAAAATTGAT